GCGCGGCGGCGGGGTAACTCACCTTGCAGCCCTCAGGGTCCTCCCCAGAGCTGTCCCCACTCTCGCTGTCAGTCACCCGCTCCTTGCACTTGAGATCAATGTCCGTGGTACTGAAGCCGTCTTCCGCTGAAGGAGCCAAGAGTTAGGGTCAGCAGAGGGGTGGGGCAAGGGAGCCAGAGACACAGCCTAGAGCCAGGGCTCTGGCACAGCTCCACTGCAGGTGACAGGAGGTGTCCTCCGGGAGCCTCACTCCTCAGCCCAAGGTGACCCGGTCTGAACTGCCAAGAGATCTGGTCACACCCATGCCCTCCACGTTTCCCAAGAGCAGGGCTGGGTTACTGAAGGGTCTGTAGGGAGAGGGTGCTCAGCCGGGAATGAGCGGGACAGAGATGGAGCCTAGTGGCTCGGGTAGAACCTCTGCTCTCCCCCCCACCCCCCACCCCCCACCCCAGTGCAGGTTCCGGGTCCCACCCTGCTCACCAATGACATCATCGTCACCCTCCTCCTCACAGATGACCATGCGTTCCTCATCACTGGTCATGTCCTCGCTCGTGGCCCTCTGGGAACGAGAAGCTCGGGGAGGCAGCAGGGGGGGCCGTCCACTGGCTGCCAGGGCACCTCCCTCACCAGGAGCCGTGAAGGGTCCCGGTGCCCCATACTGGGCAGCGGGCTTTGTGCCAGAGTAAGACACGGGGCCAGACACCATCTGAAGGGAGGCAGGCAGGGAGGGCTCAGGCAGGGGCTCAGCCTTAGGCAGCACCCTCTCTCTGCACTGCACTGCTCCCCCCAGGGGACCCGCGGCCCCAACCTGAGTCAGCTCCTGCAGTGCCTGGCTGTCTGCCTCCCCGCCGTCCAGGCTATGGACACCGCTGTGGGAGAAGGCACGGGGCCGGGCAGAGCCAGGCCCCACGGGGTGCAGCCGTTCTGCCCCACAGGAGCTGCTCCCTGGGGTCTTGGTGTCCGAGCTCAGGAGGGTCTGGGCAGTCACAGACAGCAGCTCTGTCGACACTGTGGAGGGGACAATCGGTCAGAGCGCCCCTGGCCAGTGGACTGGCCCAGGCAGCCACAGGTTCATCTGATCAGGGCGCAAGGGGGATAGGTCGCCGCCCTGGGTCACCCGGTAGAAGAGACTCGCTTGCCAGTGCAGCCTTTGCTCCCCACTGGGTCCCGCCCTCAGGGTGGGGTGACAAGAGGCCGGACCACTGCACAGTGGCCATGCCGCACCTTCACATCAAGTCTTGGGGGTGTACCCACAGAAAGACTTCAGAAAAGTATAGCAGGCATGGTCGAGCACACCGGTCCCTTGGAAATCAGAAACCACCCAGCAAGCGACACCTATCACATTCACTCTCAGAAGCAGCTAGGCAGGCCGACCTTGGATTCTACCCATTTTTGCGGTCTGTGACCAGACCTCTCAGAGGCTCAGGATGTATCTGCAAAAGGGGGGGTGGTTCCAAGCATAATTGAGTGTAACTCTTCTCCGAGGCTGGCACCCGAGTGAGGGCTCAGCACACTGCCAGCTGCGAGTGAGACTGCCAAGGAGCCCTGGTGACACTGTGGAGTGGGCACTGGGTTGCTAACCATGAGGTCGGCGGGTCAAACCCATCAGCCATCTAGAGGGAGAAAGACAGCGCTTCCCCAGCCTGTAAACAAGAGTCTCGGAACCTCAAAGGGGCACTTCCACCCTGTCCTGTAGGGTTCACTATGAATCAGCCGCCAACTGATGACAGGGGGTTTGGGGCTTTTTGGACCTCCCAGGTGGCACTGTTGGATAACAGTTGGGCCACTGATAACCAAGGTCAGTAGTTCAAACCCACCACCCTCTCGCTCTGCTTGAGAAAAATGCCGCCATCTGCTCTCGCACAGGCAGCGCAGTGGCTAGGAGTTGGGTGCTGACCACAGGGTCAGCAGTGAGCAATAATCAGCTGCTCGGCAGGAGAAAGAGGAGGCTTTCTGCTCCCGTTCCACTCTGCCCAGTGGGCCGGCCCAGGGTAGAGACAACTCCACGGGCACCTGTGATTGCTTGGAGACGGCTCCCATCAACACCTCCAGCCTCCACGGCCCCTACTGGGTCGCTCCAAGTCTGAATCTACTCGCCGGCTGTGGTGAAGGGGCCCCAGATCACAACAGTGGGCAGGGGGTGAGAAGGTGAGGGCTAGGGCGGGGACAAACCTCCAGGGGCGGCTGCGGTGCCCGTCTCTGACATGCTCCGCTCCCGGGGCTCCTTGTGACCCCCCGGCAGACCCAGGCTGGTGGGCTTGGCCTCCGAGCTGGACTTCTTCCGGTCCTTGTTGCACCACTTCCAGTCTGGATGGGCCTTGAAGTGGGCCTCCTTCACCTGGGGAGGAGGAGCGGGAGGGCCGGGTGAGCCCTCACTTCTCACACTCTACCAGAGGAGGCCTGAGCAACACCAGGGGGAAGGCCTTACCTGGAAGGCCAGGTCATGGTACTTTTGCTTCTCCTTGGGCCCCAAGGCATACCACCACTCGCCCAGGATCTTGCTGACAGTCCGGTTGTCCTGGTTGGGGTGGCGCTGGTGGACCAGGGCCCGGTGCCGCTTGCTGAAGATCATGAAGGCGTTCATGGGTCGCCGAATGTGGTCCTTCTCACGCTGGAGCGGACCCAGCCCCGAGACACGATGGTTAGAGGCCATGGGGCAGCTGGGGGCGGGGGTGTGTGTGTGTGTGGGTATATGCACAGGGCGAGCAGAGGGTTAGGCATGGCACCTTATTGGGGCTCCGTCCGTCCTTCTCCGAAGACGAGTCCCGTTCTTTGGGCAGGGCACTGAGCGACTGGGTCCGGCGTTTTCCAGGTGGCAGAGGCAGCTGGATCTCGGGAGACATGATGGAGAGGAAGCTGTGGGGAGGAAGGGGGACAGGCAAGGACCCTAAGGACAGTGTCCCCGTGGTTTGCTCCTGTACTCCCTCCTGGGCCTCGGGGCACTCACGCATCGTCATGGTCGCTCTCCGTCTCACTGTCCAACCGGGACTCTCCTGGGGGACCAGGGGCCTCTTCTTCAGTAGCAGGAGGGGGTCCCTTGCCAGGATCTACCCCACCCAAAGTGTGTGGGGGTCCAGGCCCTGGGCTTTCCGGGCAGGTGGCTGCAGGGGGCCGCCCAGGATCGGCATTTCCTGTCCCGCTGGGTGGCTGCTCGTGAGCAACAGCTGCTGACTCAGCAGGTTCTGGGGACAGAGAGGTGGATCAGAGAGCCCCCTGGCCTCCATCGGCAGGCCCCTCCTCAGCTGCCTACCCCTCACCTTTGCTCTGGTTGGAGGCCACCAGGTGGCTGGCAGGTTGCTGGGCCTCACTGGGCTGCACAGAGGGGTCAGGCTGGCTGGGAGCCAGGAAGGGGACTAAGGAGTGCCAGGGGAAGACGGCCACGGAGCGAGGTTCCACATTCGTCCACACTGTGGGAAGGAGCCAGGTGAGTCGGGCAGCAGAAAGGCCTGGCCGTGACCCACCCCCCTACCCGCCGCCGCCACTCAAATTCTTCACCGAGGTCAATAAGGGTGGCCCCACCCCTTTTCCACATCCCTCCTTGTCTTAAAACCACTGCAGTGGGCATGGGTGGGCGGTGATACTCAGATCATCCCAAGCCCCCACCCCTCAATGAAAGGCTTCTAGATTTATAAACAACAGCAGCAAAAAAAATAGGTGGCTGTTAAATAGTACACACACCCCTTGCCCCCACCAGCCCTGCGCCCAGGCCTGAAGAAAGACTGGCTCCTGCCACAACCAGGGCATGCTTGGCTGCCATCCCATACTCCCAAGGCCCCAAGACCTTGGCCATGCTGGGGAACCTCCCCCCTAGGTCGTGCCACACACACACCCCCACCACCACCACACCACACTCCACCTCTCCCGATTACCCACAGGCCTTGGATCTCCCTTTGGCCCTCCCCCTACTACAGACTCCAATGAGTCCCTCAGACCTGCCCTCTCTGGGCCAAGCACAGGTGGCTCCAGCATCCCCACTTGTACCCGAGGAGGCCGCTAGCGTGCTGGGCTGTGCTGAACCTCTCTGCTTATTGGGAGCCTGACCTGCGGCCTGCCCCTTGCCCAGAAAGAGGGGAGGGTGTGCTCCAGAGAAGATGCGGCTGGACGATGGGGGACTCTGAGAAAATTGTTACAAGCCTGTGCCACAGGCAGGCCCAAGTCCCAGGTGTTTCCTTCAGCACACACCACAGGAAGGCACTGCCCTCCAGTGGGGCCGGCCCCTGGGGTGCTCACCTTCAGCCTCAGTCGAGAGGCTCCAGGGGCAGCCGGGCTCTGGCTTCCCCTCCCATTGCCTGGTTCCAAGGGGGGGAAGTGGAAGCAGCCCAGGAGGCCCCAGCTAAGGGGAGCGGGTAGAGGACAGGAGGAACCGCCCTCCCCTCTGGGGGTCTACTTCACGCCCAGCCTCTCAGGCAGATCAAGTTGACCTGAAGTGACCCCCGGCCCCAATGCCTGGCCTGGCCTGGCCTGGGGGTGGGTGGGAGGGGAGTTTGGTGGGAGGCCCCGGCAGTCTAACCTGATTTTGCCAGAAGAAAAGGTAGCCAACAGTCTCAGGGTAAGGTAGGCTAGTTCTGGTCCCTAGGATAACCCTGTGCCCTAGCCCCAGCACCTGCTGGGCCCTCCAACCCTGGACCACGGCGCCCAGGAACCTGGACCTGGTCCTTTCTCCACAAGGATCGCCCTCACCAGGGCCCCCTCATCTTCTAGGGGGAAGGGGGAGGAGGGGCCCGGGGCCAGCAGACAATGCAGGGGCGGTTCTCTGGATCTGCCCCTTCGGGAGGTGTCTGGGCTCTCTCCCTCGCCTCTTGAAGTCGTGCCCCCCAACACTCCTGCCGTGACTCCGGTGCCGACGGCACACTCGCTCACTCACTCCCCCAGCCCTGTCCTTGGCCCTCGGCCTCAGCCCAGCGTCCTGACCAGCCTCTCGCTGGCCCCAGGCTGCTCGGGTCCCCACTGGCCTCTGAGCCGGTTCCTCTGCACCTTGCACCTCCGGTTACCCGGGGCCCGTTACAGCCCATCACCTAACTAACGTGGCGCGGTGTCCCCAGGTACTCCTCACCGTCACGTCCATCCGCTCCGCTCCCACCTGCCGTCACTAACCACTCGCCCGGCCCCGCGCTCCCAACTTTGCCCGCCGTCGCCCGCTCTACTCTGCTGCCTCCCATTCGGAGTGCCCATCCCCGTTACTCCGCCGCCCGCAGCGCCGAGACGCCTTGACCCGGGCAGTAACGGGCGATACTGACCGAACATGCCGAGTCCACGGGAGGCCGCGCCGGACGCGGGCACCAGG